GAGGTGGCCACCGGATCCGTTAATAGCGGACAGAGGTTAATTTCCGTTAATTTTCCGTTAATTAACGGAAAATAACGAAAAAGACAAAAATTAACCAAAAATTAACGGATTTTTGGATTTTTGGGGGATTTTTGGGTTTTATTCATACTTATAGTTTATGGAATTCGCTATTAGAGAGTATGTTTGTATTTTATTTCAACCTATGCATACTAGATTTTCAACTAGCCGCAGTTGTTGTGATTTTTTTGGATTTTTTTCGTTTTTTCTGAATTTTTCTCCCTTTTTCTGAATTTTTTCTCCTTTTTTCTTTTTAATGAAATTTTTAACGGACAACTGATGTACTAACGAACCGGACTTTAACGGGATCGATGGTATCTTTGGAGTGGCCACCTCTAGTGCAAGCATGCGAAGCAATTCCCTGTGTAGTCTTTAAACCAAATGATACAATACCGTTGGTGGTATTGGGGTGCTTGCCCTCTTTTAACCATGGACCCGCCTCGCCGGGCACCTAGGTCCTTATGGGGACTTAGGCAGGACCACCCCGTCCTACCCCCGTATCGTATAATAATATAGGGTCTGGTTCGGGATCCGTTACCATATCTTGGGTAGGGCATCCCCCCCACCAAGAGACCATTAGTAGGGCGTCCCCCACATCAGGCCTAAGTGCATAATATAATGGGTCTGATACGGGGGTATGTTGGGCAATTCAGTTATTACATGTTGATGTACATTATGTGGTGTCTGTGTAATGGGTGGCCGGACTGGAATGTGGCTGACCGACAGTTCGTACACAGGGGTGTGTTACTCCCTATTCTGTTACCCCATTTGGCTCATTGCCATGCTCTGCATGGGCCTCGTGGCCCGGGGAGCAAGCTGCCTTGCACCCTGCCATTTTCGAATGGCAGGACCACACGATCCCAAAGTGCAAGAAGGCCCACCGTGCAACGAATGAGCGAGCACCCCAGTTACTCTGTTGGCGTAGTTCCCCCCTAGCCGCGTACAAGGGCATATATTAAATCCGACTCAAACTTTGGCATTTACATTGGTGGCACCCACATAGTGGTGCAGTATGGTAGGCACGTGTACGTTGAACGTACACGTGGTGAACGTACTACATTCACCAGCCAAGCGCAGATGCAAACGCCCAAGTCATTGTGCCCAACATCGAGCGGCCAGCAGGGGGAGTTCCCTGTGGGATGAGGACCGCCGCCTCACATCCCGCCCATGGAAATGGGTCCCCAAAGCCCTCTGCTGATATGCTACTTAGTGCAAGATCACCACAAGCAGACCGCCAACAAAACGTTGGCTGGAGATGTAGCAAAGGGCCATGCACTGAGGGCGGGTGACACATTAGTGTGCATTGTGGTGACGCCCCAGCGTAATGGGCGTGGTGGCGGCTAGCTCTGTGGGCGCCAGATGCATTGCAGCAGTCGCAGTGGCGGCTAGCTCTGTGGGCACTAGATACATCGCAACAGTTGTGGTGCCTCTAGAGGTCGCTGGGTGAGCCATTTCCACGCCCTGCATTGCGATCTCTGGGTGGGTAGGAGAACTAGGTAGTGGGGGGAGACCCCACAGGGCTGTCCCTGGGTTTGCACCCAGTGGAGTGCAGTGGGCGAACACCAAGGTGAGGATGCAATAGGTGGGAAGCGAGTGCACAAGAGGCACCTGAAGCCCTGTTCCCATGGTTAAGGCGTGAACCTAGGGGGCGCCACTACACGATGAAAGGAAAAATGCTTATCGCTGGTGCGCACGAGGTGGGGGACACTGGGGAAGATGGGGGGGAAGGCAGGATTGATTCTAGCTTTGGGATATTCCAAGGCCACAGGGATGGAGCCAGGTGGGGTGTGGCAATTTGAAAACCAAAGAAGTAGTTTCTGGTACAAAAACAACAACAAAATAGATAGTGTGGTCTCTGTCGACGTTCCTCTTTATGATGCCATTATTGTTTCAGCCCCCCGCACTGGCCCAGGATTTGGCAGCATGAAGATCGCGTCCACCATCGCCAAATGGCACCCGATGGCCCCCTATTTCTAAGATCGAATATGAATTTCCCCCACCCTCTACATCTTTTCTGCACCTTTTCATATTGGTTTTGTGGCGAAACCCACCCATGTTGTTTCTGCCGACCGGAAGTTCCAAACGTGGCGATGCATGGCTGCCTCGAAGGCCGGCGATTGGCGGGTTGGCCACAGCTCGTCGGCTGCTTGTTCGCCCCGCCGATCCAATTCCCACCCCACGCTGCGATCTTCTACCCAAACGTAGCGTGACAGTGGAGGGCTCTAGGGATGTGTTTGTAGGGACTAGGCACGAGGCGGCGGTCCTCGCCCCACCGGGTACTTGTCCCGTTGGCCGGTCGACATTGGACACAATAGCTTAGGCGTTTGTGCATGCGCTTGGCTGGCGACCGTACACGCGCCTACCATACCGCGCCATTTATGTGGGTGCCGCTGGTGTAAATGCTGAAGGTCGGGTAGGATTTAACGTATGCCGTACCCAAATTCCCTGGCCCGCATGCTAGGGCCTCTCCGGTAGAAGCATGGTCATCATTGGCCGAGCGGTATGTCCCGGGCTCTCTCTGGCCCGTGGGTGATAGCCGCTCTGCACGGTCCGGTCCGAGGCAGGTGGTTACTACGCTCGAAGAGGCAGGGAGGCTCCAAAACAATCGATTGCTACAACATCGTGTGGCCGCGCACGCTCTTACATCCCGCGGCACACAATTCCACTATAGACTATTAAACTCATTAATCCCATTATCTCCGGCGGCCTGGGCTCTGCCCCCGGACCCCCCCGCCTTGCGAGTACCCTTCAAGGACCTCGGCACGGCCTCGCTCTGCTCAGCCAAGCTCGGCCCCTTACGGGACCGCGCAAGATATATTCCCACATGCAGTTCGCCTAGCCAAGTGCATATTATTACCACATACGCTTGCTAGATTCGGCAGAGGGACCATCGGCCCATTGGGTGCAGGCGGAGGACGTGGGACATGCACAAGCAAAAGGGACTAGTGGAGGCCATCAAAAAGGGCCCCACCACAAGCAAGAGGGCGAAAAAGGTACCGGGGAGTGGTGTCGCATGTTCCGCGAGGCATGTGGGTCTGCGTGCAACAATGCCCGTTGATGTAGAGCACCCCGGTTAGGTGCCGCTCGAGTTGCAATGACTCACAATGGCGTTTGAGTGTCGTGGGGTGTGTAGGGGGGGCAGAAAACCTGAATATGACAGTGCCCCTGAACTTACGACGATACTTGTGGCAATTGTGAGAACAGTGGGTTGATTGACCTGTGGTGTGAATGCTTGTGAACATGTATGCTCAATCGCCCTGGATGTTGCATGTTAGGGTGAACTGTTAGTGCATATGAGCCTGCTAAAGAGTACAGGAGCGGTCCCCATCATCTGCTGCCCCTCTGGGGCAGAGGAACCGCTGCAGAAATTTTCAGGTGACACCGGAACAATATGTAGAAATATAGAAAGTACACAAACAATTCACCAGACTGGGCAGGGCATGGTCAGTGGCCCTTGCTGATTAATTTTGCTCTGCTGAGTCAACAGGGACGCAATTTCATTACCCTATAATCAGGATAATGGCTTGGCGTTTGCAGCATCTGTTATATTTTCAGCTGTCGTTGATGGTGTCAACGTCACATGGTGTTCGTCTTTCTGTTAGCAATTTTCGATTCCAGATTCCACAGCCCTCTTTGTCACATCACCTTCAATGCTTGCGTCCATTCTTTTCATGACAGGGGGTGGCCTGTGGCGCCTAGATTGCATAAGACCATTTCATAAGTTCTTCTCTTCATGGCTTTCTTTGCTTTGCGCGGCTGTCCTTGGCCAGATTGTTCCTGTCCATGGCCATACGGACCATGCATGCAGAGATGGTGACAGAGATGGAGACGGGTTTGAAAATAATGCCTTTGTGTGGGCACTGGCAATAGCCATGGACTGCAGGCCCATGACTTCACACCTGCGGCCCATATGGCAACCAACTTCCAATGTGGATCACTGAGAACTGAAGGCCACCACACCACCAACACATCGTCCTGCAAGATATCTGAAAACAACATACAGTCTCTGAATTTCAAACCCAAAACCAATGACGCATAAAGCATTTGAGAGGTGAAAATCAAATCCAGGTATGTCACTTCCCTTCCAGCAACTTCACAATGTCTTCCTTTTCGTTCAATTGTGCCACTTCCTTTGGCACGTTGCCATCAGCGTTCTTCGTGTCCGAAGCAGCACCTCTGCACAGGGGAGTCAACATCCACCCATCAACAGTGCCAAATGGAACATGAACAGACACGGTCGGCAGGGCCATCCCAGGGGCTAATGAGCCAGGGCAACACATTCAAACTCACAAAACGAACAGAAAGAAGACCCGTGTGATGGCAGGTGCCAAAGCTACACAAACCCTATGAGGCCTCTCATGTCCAACAATGACAAGATCAGTGACAATGGCTCCAGCGGTGCTTACTTTGATAGCAACAATTCCACAGCTTCTGGTTGTCCATATCCAGCTGCGTAGTGCAAAGCAGTATTCTTGTTGTTGTCCGCAGAATCGATCTTTGCTCCTTTGTCCAGGAAAAATTTGACACACTCCATCTCGCCATAGCCACAGGCGAAGTGAAGACCTGTGCGGCCCTCCTCATCCTTATCATCAATATCCACACCTTGTGCGAGCAGCTGCTTCAGGCCCTCCACATTCCCTGGAGGAACAAGCACACAGCTTGTCAGATGTGGCAAATTGTATGAGACTACCATAGGCTCACCAAGCGATTGTACAGAAACATCAGCAATAATTAGAACTAGCTGTGGGCCTCCCAGACAAGCAGACAATGCACCAACAGCTGTGAACACACAAATACGTCCCTAAGCCAGAGGGCATTCTAATGGATGTTATTTGGCGGTCCAATGCACATTGTGCACATCAAGCCAACATGCTGTTGGCACATGCAGGACTACAATATACAGTTTCAAGTTCAGGATGTGCCAGCAAAGAATCCTGATGATGCCTGCAAAAGTCCTGCCAAAGAAGACATATACAGTGCTTTGTGGGTATCCAGGGGAAAGACCAAAGAGGTGTCATTGACTGAATAATTCTTCCATGAAAGAGCAGGTCCCTTGGAGAGCACGCTTGCCACGTACACCGCCACCATGGCAAAACCCTGGTCGTGCTATGCCTATGAGTGCTGCTTGTCATATCCATGAAACAAACATGCACAACACATACCTTCCCCAGCATAGAACTGCATGCTGGGAACTTCTTCCTCTTGCTCATCGCCAGGCACATCCGTTGTACCAGGGCCAATGACATCTTCAAGAGCAGTGCTAAACTTCTTGAGCACTTCGGGGTTGTTCCAGTACCTGCTTGACAGCAGACCTCGCTCACAACCTCAAGTTTCCGACACCAAATTGGGCAATATCGATATCGCCATCACCCCAACTTCTTGCGACGAGCACTTCCCACGCTCTCATTGCACCAGCAGACGCGCGTTGCACTGTCCAGCATCAACACAGCAACTCGCGGATCTTGTAGTACAGAAATACCGTGTGGTACTCGTGCAACACAACGCTGGCTCACTTCATCATAGCCTGCGGGTCTCCAGTCTCGAGCTCCTTCATGATGGGTGCCAGCTCGGGGTCTTTCTTCAGCTGGTCCAATTTCGCCTGCATGGCTTCCCTCTGCGCTGGGTCCATCAGAGTACGCAGGACGGGATTGTGCTGCATCAATGCAATCCAAAACGTCAGTGCCAACAACCCTGGCAAACGCAAACCTCCTTCATGGCACGGCTCGAGAAGAAAAGCGTCCAGGATTGCGCGCTCTTCCAGACCCAGCGTCTGCATGCCCAGCGTCGCCACCCTCGCTGGCGTTCCCATCCTCCCACCTGCAGCATCGTCTGTCCAATCTTTTCCGCCATTTGGACGAACTTCGGGCTCGCATACAGTTGCTGCATGGCCTCCATGGCCTTTGCGGGGTCCACTCCGAACTGTGGCATTCCCGGCTGTTGGGGCTGCCCCTCCTGTTCCGACGCCGACTCCCCATCGCCAGCCCCAGCGGCCGCAGGTGTGGCGTCAGCCTCCTTCCCCGAGTCTCCGTCTTCCCGCGCCTCTGTCGAGCCAGTGGCGCCGGGTGACTCCGGCGGAACTCCAAAACTTTGTTGCAGAACGCTCTGCATCTGCTGGAAACCGGGGTCGCTCTGGAGCTGTTGCGCGAGCTGCAACACCGACGGATCCTGCGGCGCAAGCGTCCGCAAGTTTCATCAGGCGCCCCTCCACTCCAAATTCTGCCACGCAACAGACGGCCGGAAGGTGTCCATCCAGCGCGGCGAGCCCATCCCTCACATTAAGGAGGCTCTCCCACGACGAGAAGTCAAATGCCTGGCCGGCGTCTGCCTGAGGGTTGTCGGATGACATGGCTGTTGCGCGAAGCTGGCAAGACGAAACAACGCCGTGCAGGGTCAGAGGGTCGCTAGAAGCCAGTCGGGGTTCTCGGTTGCTTCCCGTCCAGGGAAGGCGCTGAGACGGGGCTGCCCGAGGAGCAGTGCAAGGTCGCAGCAGAGACGGCTGGAACCGAGCAGAGACCCAGATATGTGGCGCTAATGTGGCAATTAAAACGTCAGTTGACGTTATAATAGGAGGAAGGAGGACGGACGGAGCCCAGCACATTGCACGCATGGCGTGGCGTCGAGCCTCGAACCACCGCGGAAATGGCGTCCAGATGGCGAATCTTCCGGCAACGGACCGGTCACGCACGAAAATGGACGCTCGCTTGATCGAGCTGAACTCGATGGCGAGGTGCACCCACAGTGGGCGTCTGTCAGAGCGGCATGTTCACCGATCGGCGGGGTACAATCCCCGTAAGTCACTCATAGAACAGCGAGGTGGGCCCAAGGTTCGCGTGTTCATTACAAATGAAGCCGTGTGTCTTTAAATACCCGAGCCGCTGGCGCGGCACCGTTACCCAGGGTTCTCTGAAAGGTCCCTTCAAATCCATACAAGGTATGAATGTACCTTTTACCCAGGGTGCGCCACCCAGGCCTCAACACACTGGCCGCTCTAGTCTAAGTACCAGCCCGCATTACCCAGGGTATCCTTACCCTCCCGAAGCCGCGGGGTGCATTACCCAGGGTGCCTAATCCATGGCGGCATTACCCAAGGTATCTTTACCCGTCCTAAGTCACCAGCTGCCTTACCCATGGTACCCTTACCCTGCCTAAGTCACCGGCTGCCTTACCCAAGGTATACCTACCCATACTATCCCACTGGCTCCATTACCCAAGGTATTCTTACCCGCCCCAAATCACTTGCTGCATTACCCATGGCATCCCTTCCCTGCCTAAGCCGCGGGGATCGCCTTTGGCGCTCAGAACTCTACTATACTCATCAATTACCCAAGGTATTCGGTCCGATTCTCCTTGCCGGAGTGCAGCTCGCGGTGTGACGCACCCCCCAGACTTCCCACCTTAGATCCAAGGTTGAGCCCGCTCTCCATTGGGTCAGCTCATCCTTCTGGCATTCGGCAATGGTTGTACAAGGCGGCACATCATCATCTCTCCAGCATAGGCTCATGGGGTCGTCGCTTGTCGTCCAGCCTTCCGGTTCAAGGGTGTTTGGCAGTACTATCCGTCATGGGGTTTCTTCACAGGGCATCACGCATCCTCGACATTGTTGTTTCGTCATCGTATAGGCAGGGCGCAACCTACAGCCTTCACAATCAACTACAACACATCCAACATGCATAGACTTTCCTATAATTCAGTTAGCATATCATAGTCAATCCTCAAGGTACATGATTCAGGCGGGGTACTCAGAAAATCACCACAGCTATGGCGTCGCGCCCGAACGAACCCTCACGCGCCCTCGCGTGAGTTCAAAAAAAAATTAATAATTTTTTCGATTCTCTTTGAGACATGGGATAGAGACATTATCAAGCCAGACAGATGCATGGCTCCGTTTCACAGACAAAGACACATGAAGAGGTACTCAGATTGACATGACAAGACGATCTATCCTATGCAGACATGACTACCCATCCAACTTCCAAATCCATCAGCTGATTGCCCTAGTCCTGGCATTCTAATCCATTTTTTTAACAACAGATTGTCCAAAAGGGATCACATCTGTTTTGCGTGTTTTTATCCCGTCCTAAGACACATACAAGACGGCACCGTACAGACAATGCAGATTGTCACCTCAATTAAGGGACAATCAATTCAGTACATGATCACCTCAGACTGGTGATATGTAAGGTGAAATTAAATATATAGGTCACATCAAAGCACGCTCATTGAACCCTTTTCACAACACAGGGTTCAGACTGAGGTTCGTGACATTCCCCAGTCAGACCAGCAAGTGTTATACCGGTCTATTTGTCGCAGCCAGAATGCTGCGTTTCCGCCTCATTTTTCTACCCCATAGTTTTTCTCCAGCAGATCGCCTAAATTGGGTCCCATCTACATCGCATATTGTTACAAGGGCTGCCATATCAGGTCCTGCCCAGTCATTATTTTTTTTAGATGGTAGGCACCCGGCAGGCACCCAATATGCACTTATGGTTCACCCTGCTCAAGGAATTGTGGAGTGTGCATACCTGCTAGGACAGCTTACTAGCCTAGCGTAACCTACTCGGGTGGCTGGTTCGTGATGCATTGAGGAGTGTCTCCAAATGGGACACCATACTTGACAATAAGATGGGTTTTAAGGCTGGTAATGATGACATTGAGCATGTCATGCACTGCAAGCACTTGGACACCCCAACAGGCCTATAGTTGTGGCCCTTCATTTTGGTATTTTGGAAGTTCACCAAAAATGCACTGTCCCACATGACTGCCGCTTACAACTTGGGGACCGACCAGGAGGTCCGTTGGTATAAGGAATTCATCGCTGGGTTGCAGGAGGACGTAAACATCTTCCCAACGTTCATCTCCCGGGAAGACGCAATGCCATCTGCCAAAGTGGACGACCCAACAAAGGATATAGTAGCCCAAATTGTGCAGCCACACAGCAGGAGCACGACCACATGGGACACGATGGAGGTTGTCTTCTTCAAGGCTATTCTCTGTGCTCACGACCTGTACATAAGGTTAGGTGGTGCGGACGAAGCTCGACTAGCTGGAGATACCCTGTACCACCAGTACAGGTCCACCACTTTGGCCGGGTTGCCATTCTGCCTCCAATCCATGATGAGAATGCATTGCTATGGGCCAAGGAGATGGGCTCCAACTCATCACTCCCCAGGAGTACTTTTTCCTCGCACCCTTTGCGAGAGCCGCACATTGGTGGCTGGAATAACAAGTCCAACTATTCCCGAGCCTAGATCAACTAACAATGGCCCTGCGGGATGTAGTTGTCCAGCCAATGCTGATGTGGATGCGTGGTGCAAGGGATGAGCTGGAAGCTTTGTCGGTGGTCAAGAAAAAGCAGGTGAGCACTGAAAGTTGTGAGGCAAAATTCAAGGGTGTCCTTCAAGCTCGCAATCTAGATCGGAAGAATGCCAACTACAATTCTGTGATCACGGAACTGCAATTGGGGTGCTTCCCATCTATATTCAGTTGTGTTGTTGCCCTCCAGAGAGCACATCACGTAGTGCCATCATCGCATTGCAGTGTGCACCACACGGGAACCTTGTTGCATCCTCGGGGTCCATCATTAAATTTGCAACCGCATTGCACTTTTTGGCCTGACATGTTGTTTTGCTTGCTCTCCTTCCCATACGGACCAAGACCAATTGGATGGCGTCGTTGACAGCAAGGAGGTTGCCCAAATCGCCTTTGGATATCAGTCAGGACTATCCAACTGGCAATGCGATGAGCTGGCAAAGGCGGTGGATGAGGTTGCCTGCTAGCGTCTACTGGCCCACGCAGTGCCACTGCCCAAGTGGGAGAAGATTGTTGAGAAGAACAATCCCGCCCCTGACCACAATGACGTATGGCCCACGCAAATTGCTGATGGCCAATTGTCATTGAGCCCTCAGGCCATCTCCCAATTCCTTGCCCGTCCGTCGGGGCTCGACTTCTAGAGCGGACAGGTGGTTTGGGATGGCGGCAGGGAGGGGGGCCGGGATGTAGGGCTGTCGATTGTGGTTGGGGATGCCAAAACTAAGCGGATATACAACAATGTGGGGCAACTACTTGGCTCGTTCCTTATTAAGCTAATGCTAGTCGACCCCCCCTTTTGGGCTTTCCAAGCATGGGGACAAGTTCTGGGACAAGCCGAGCCATAAGTGGCAACCAGCCACCTTCCCAACTGCGGCTCTGTTAGTGCTGCCCTTCAACCCCGCCCACTTCAACATCGCAGTGTACAGTATGCGTCAGTACGTCGGCAAGTGGATGCGAGTTTTGAAGGCTGCAAAGCAGGAGTTGCCCTTCTGACACAGAGGCAACATGCTATTCATCTTGGGGCACAATGGTAATGCTAAACTATAGGCCGGCACAGCGTCAGAGGTGGGCTGTCCAGGAACGGGGACGGACTAGGAACGGGGACGGGGATGGGAACGGGGACGGACCGGAGTCCGTCCCCGTCCTTGGGCCGGCAGGCCCAAGAACGGCCAGGGACGGCTCCGTCCCTGGCTGGGAACGGACTGGGAGGGATCTGGGATGGTATGGCCCACCTAGGAGTCCGTTCCTGTACTGCCCAAGGCCGGTCTAGAGTCCGTTCTAGGCCGGTCTAGAGTCCGTTCCAGGCCGTTCCGAAGGCCGTTCGAGGCCGTTCTGAAGGCTGTCCCAGGCCGTCCTGGAACCCGTTCTAGAAGCCGCTCCACAATACATAACAACATCAAATTCATGCGTGGACCAATAAGAATGTAGCGATCAGATTTGACGCATGGGCCGCGCCCCCCACGGTCCACAAACGTGGTGCCCCTGCCCCCCTGCGACACAGTTTGCGCCTGTTGCGATGGGTGGCAAGACCAAGCAGACGCAGCGGCGGCGGCATGTGAAGGCCGGGGAGTCACGGCCCCCGGCCCGACATCACCAAGGCGGCCCCCCACAGCCTGCGGCAGGGGATGCCCGGGGCCAGACAGAGGGGCGCCCGGAAAGGCGGTCCCCCACCCCCCAAGGTGAGGGATCCGGGCATGCGGGGACGGCGGTGGCAGCAGCAGGGGGGGAAGGCCAGGGGGCGTCTGTTGGCGGCAGCGCCCCACTCCCGGACCTGTTTGACTTTTCGCATTTGGTGGCGGGGGGCCTGGGGGACTCGGATTTGGAACCCAGCGCGGAGGGGGCTCTGAACCTACAATAGCTGCCAGCTGTTGGGGCATCTGAAGGGCTGTTGCTGGCCGGGGATCCCGAGGGGGCGTCTGTGAGTGGCAGGGTGGGGTCTGCATCTGTACCGGCGGCGACACCTGGGGCCCCGTTGACGGCATCGGGGGCGGCCGCCTCTGGAAGCGACGTGAAGCGCGCGGCCGGCGGCGAGGGGGG